AGATTCATCTAAATTTATTCATAGAAATAAATATGTCTGCTTGAAAGAATGAATAATATGGTAAACAAGTTGGTAGGCCTATAAAGAATGCATAATTAGCCTATATAACCATTGGTATTTCCTTAAAAAGAAAACCATGTTCTTGTTCTTTATGAGAAGTGGTTTTATTTAATTTTAACATAAAGGCATGTGTCACCGCAGTTAAATCGTTGTCTATCATGATAAAACCTTAATATCAAACCTATATAATGAGTTTGGAAATTTTAGAGAAATGCTTAATAAATGCACTGTAACTAAACCCATTAGATTTTAGCCGACTAAATTTACTGTAGATTTAGTCGACTAAAATCTTATGATATTTAGTCGAGTAAAACTAGACTAAAACTAAAAACAATTCAGATTACTAAAATATGACTAAAACTAAATGGCATTTTAGTCAAAAGGCTATGACTAAAACTAAACCAAAATTTGTAAAGTACATCAATAAGGAGATTTTAATTATATCAAGAGAACCGGGAAAACACACGCAGCAAAGGCGCTAGACATCAACAGACATTAACAATATCGGACGACGAACGGATGTAGGAGACAAGGAAACACATGGGAAATGGAACACGTGGAACACGAGGGGAGCAAAACATGGAACAGAGTCTGACAGTACTAGGCAAAACATATTTAAAATTTTAAAATTTAAAATTTTTAAATTTTAAAAACAATTTTAAAAATACACATTATAGTAATCTTAAGTTCTTCATCATTTTCTTTTAAAATAGTTGTCATTTTAAGAAACTTTTAATATGTTTTGTATTATTTTTTCTTTATTTATTTTTTCTTTTCTTGTTTTTTTTCCCTCTCTTTTTATAATTATCATTAAATTATTTTAAATTTTATATGTCTTAATGCATTTTGTTGGTTGATATTTCTGATGTTTTGGCTGTGCAGCACCTTGGTGAGCACACATTGCTTTTAAGGTGCTATATAAATAAACCTGACCTGATCCGACCTAATAAATTTATTTTTGTTTAACAAAATTGTCTGGGTAGGGGACAAGTAAAATAAACAAAGAAATTCTTAAGTTCTTAGTAATTTTCTTTTTACATTAATTTAGAGCTTTTAATAAATGTATTTAAAAAAAAATAATACAGTTAAAATGTTCTCAACAAGAATTCTCAACAAAAAAAAAAATTGCATGTGTGTCGAATAATTCGTTCCATTTTTTATAGGAAATTCAGACAATAAATGCTGTTTTGCCACTTTTTGATGTGGCGTGCCGTGACATATCGCAAAGAAATTCTTAAGTTCTTAGTAATTTTCTTTTTACATTAATTTAGAGATTTTAATAAATGTATTTAAAAAAAAATAATACAGTTAAAATGTTCTCAAGAATTCTCAACAAAAAAAAAAATTACATGTGTGTCGAATAATTCGTTCCATTTTTTATAGGAAATTCAGACAATAAATGCTGTTTTGCCACTTTCTGATGTGGCGTGCCGTGACATATCGCTGTATAAACGCCTCTGTTCTAATGGCAGCGCGGAGCTCGAGTGAGCACGATCACCCCTTCCTCTTTATTACTAGTTTTAATGCGAAATAAACATGAATTGACATCTCACCCCTCACGTAATCGTTCAATTAGCGTTTCAACAACAGAAAGATGTCATTAAAACAGCTTGTAAACAAAATGTCATGTAGCATTTCATTTACCTCAGGCAAGTCATACAGCTCGTTATTTGCTAGTGAAATGAAGTCTAGTGAAGAGCATTTTGTGAAATATTAGACTATATACTTCATTATATTTTACTTTGCTAGTGAAATGAAGTCTAGTGAAGAGCATTTTGTGAAATATTAGACTATATACATCATTATATGTTACTTTACCTGTTAGTGATGTCTTAATTATTTAATGTATGTATAAATAAACATTTTATGAAACAAGTTATGAGAGCCACTCTGTAAATTATTATATTTCAACAACAATTAGAAACTGTATAATTTAGAAGTTAATTTAAAAAACATGATTGCATGCAATTTTATTTAATTTGAGTGTTGACTATGATGACACAAGACATGAAAACTGCTCCTAGAAAGAGAGTAAACTTCTGCAATACATCCTGCAATCACTGAAAATGGGAACTAAGTAGCTCTTTCCCGAATTTACTGGTTTAATTTAAACTATTTCAAATACATGCTGTAAATTTCAGTCTACCATTTCCAACACCCTTGCTTTTGAACTACAACTTTTTGTAGCCATGTGTAATGCAGAAGGCAATTTTTTGCTGTCATTATTTCATGCTGCATTCATTAAGACGCGATTATAAAATGTTTTAATGAAAGAGATGATTAAAGGCAAACTTTGACCAGACTCATTAGTTTCTGATGGAACACAAACATTCATTCAACAGAAAACAGAGTGTGAAAAGGATCAC